AGTTCCAGTACTTGGTTCAGAGCTGGAGAGCAATGAGTCAGATCCACTGCTCCAATTATATCTGCATCCTGCAGTCTGCTCTCTTAAAAGCAAACACACACACACACACACACACACACATCTTCATGCGAGACAAAAACACACGCAGGCAGAAAGACACACTTTGATATCCACACCGTGCACATAGTTGCCAATAAATGCATGAAGCAGTCAGAAAATAACAGGCTGGAAAACAGAATCGCACAAGCCGTGCAAACACACACGCCCACACACACACACACACACACACACACACACACACACAGAGCACTTGAACAGGAGCTTGTTGACCATCACACAGCCGCGGACTGTGGAGAAGAGAGGGGGGGGGCGAGTGAGCTCACAGAGGTCGCTTTGAAGTTTCTATTCAGGTCTTTGTCCCATTCAGGCTGCTGGCAGTCGACATCTCTACTAGAGGCCCGGCTCCTCCCACCGCCACACCGTCCCCTCGCACACACACTCGGGGAGAAAAGAAAGCACGTCCACAGGTCCTGTCCATCACGCGAGCCTTAATTAGAGGGGATTCGAATGCCCCCCTTTGTGCCCTCCTCACTCTCGCTCCCCTCTTTCTTTAACCCCCCCCCCCAACCTTACTCATTTCACTCTCTTTTCAGCAGCTCCCACCCTTTCTTGTTTATCCATTCCTCCATCTCTCCTCTAACCCTTTTATTCACTTTTGTTGCCCTCATTTTCTTGGCAAGGAGCGAGGCACCTCTCCAGACGTTCTCTCCTCTATGCCTTGAGCCCCTTTGTGCCCCCCCCCCCCCCCCCCCCCCCCCCTTTTCTTTGCGCATGACGGGACCCACCGTCTGCCAAAGAATAAAAAAACAAGGGGGAGGAACGTATTAAAAAAAAAGTGCCCTGGAGAGAAGCAATCCCCTACAGGTGGGGTGAATAGCGTTGAGAAAGAGGGACTCCGGGCCCCCTCCCCCCTCCTGCAGCCCGGGGCTGAAATTTGGCATATTCTCTCCATCAATTTAGCTCTTCTCTAAACTCTCCGGGCGACCGGCCTACTAAATGCAGTTTACCCCGACAAATAATCACAGCGAGTTAATATCAATGAGTGTTTGTGTGTGTTTGTGTGGTTCTGTGTGCCTGTGCGTGGAGGGGGGGGTGGGGGGGGGTCTATGTCTGGGAGCGTGCGCGTCGTAACTTTCTACCATCTTTCTTTCTCTGCCGAGAACTGTTAAGCGCTTTGATATCAAGCATCAAACAATTTCTCTTTTCAAATTTTAATCTCATCCGTGAGGCTGCAAAATAAAGGTCTGATTCGGGGAACAAGTTAAGATAGGAGGATCACAAACAGCCACTAATCAGGAATCTTATCAAGATCCCCAGATGTTTATATGTAGACAAAGAAGGCTACACGAAACATCTATTGTCGAGGCTTTTTATCAGACCTAATGACTGATATGAGAGACGGCGAGAGGAAGCTTTGCTTACATCCCCTGGTGGGATGTCAAATCGAGGAGGATATGTTTAGTGCAGATTGTTATTTGTCTGTAATCAGCGCCTTCCTGTCAGTCACAATGTCTCGTGATGAGTAAATGAGAGGACGCGGAGTGAAGCAAGTGAGGGAGACAAGAGAGGAAGACGACGTCTGGACAGCAATGAAGCGCACCACAAACAGGAAATGTACGTTTGCCGACGTCCCAGCTGTTTCTGACCTCGCTGCTGTTTCAGTCCAATCAAAGCAGCAGGAATCGCTCCAACGACAACTTTTCAAGTGTCAGGCCCTGAAAATAGTTTGTTTACGTTCACGGAGCTTTCCCACTGTTTCAAACTGGCCCATTATTTGGATTGTTTGCCTCTATGCTTCCTTCAGAGGACACTTTACTGTGCGTGAGACAGACAGGAAACATGCTGCACAGTGCGTGTGTGTGCGTGTGCGCGTCTGCCTTTGTGAAGACGTATTGTCTCAGTGGTTAATGGCTGTTCGATATTGATTGCAGCTGGAGACGTCCGAGTCACATGTTCCTCGCCGCCCCCCCCAAGATAACGAGGGTTAACCACTTGACCCTGTGCATGCCAAAGGGGCTCCGCTCATACCTGGATCTGTAGCCCAGCAGGTCCCACAGCTCCACGCTGTGGGACAGGCCGCGGCCCACCGGCCTCCGGCCTGGAACCGCGGATCAGGGCCGTGTCATAGAGCCGCTCCAGAGGGGAACGCGGCCAGACTTCATTAAGGGCAGCTCGAGAAGCAAAGGAGAGGCCACTTTTGCTGTGATTTTATTTTCACTGTGAGGTTGCTGGGTTGACTTCTGGACTGCTGCGGCTTCATCCCGGAATGATGATGTCATGGTTTCAGCGTTTGTGAAGTGTAAATAGCGGACGGGGGAAGAAACCGTGTCCTCGGCAGCGGGGTTCATCTTGGAGAGGCGGGGGAGTGGAAAACAAAACTCACAAAGAAGCACTGACTGTTCTCCATTTTAAAGCTAAAACGAATCAGTGGATGATTAAGAAAAAATGAATCGGCAAACATCTTTACTAATTGATGTTCTTATTTATTATTGATCCTCTCTAAATGACAGGATTTATCTGCTTCCCTCTCTTGTAGATCATTATAAAGTGAATATATTCAGCCGTGGCACGTAGGTCTGATGGTCCTCAGCTTTGTTCCAGACTGAACTGTTGGATTGCCATGTGGTTTGGTTTCAGACGGTGGTGGTTCCCAGAGGATGAATCCTCCTGACTAATGACAATGCCCTGTAGACATTTCTGCTTTTTAATGAAATTTCTGGACAGTTATTGGATCAATTCCCGTTCCATCTTGCATAAATATTTACCGTCTCTCCGGAGGATGAATCCTTCTGTCTTTTCTGATTGTCTCACATATCCTGTTGGGCCACAGCCAGGTCGAAGCTTTCACTTGTTTTGAGAAATACCTCAACATCTACTACAGTAGATATTGTGTGATATTCGGGGGCCCCGTAGGATAAATCTTTACGACCATTGGGATTTTTGCTCTAAGAGGTGGACATTTGTGTTCAAACGTGATGATAAATGTCTCAAAAATGTACGGCATTAGCATTGGTTACACACGTTCGTCTCCCCTTCGGGATGAACTCAGAAAAACATCATCAAAATCATCATTAATGAGGATAATCTTTTGTTTCTGCCCGACTCCATTTTGAATCTGAAGAGCGTGTGTGAGCTTGTGTGGTATCAAAGTACATTCAAGCTATTTATAGAGGAAGTAATCACAGCCACCTATACACATTAACATGATGACCTCATTTCTTGAAAATGCCATTATCTCATAGGTGGCTGTCTGGAGAGGGGGGAATAAATCAAACTGCCTTCTGCGTGTTTGACAGAACGTGAAACTTGCTTTCAATGCTTTCCTTTGTCCTTACATGTACTCCACTTGGTAGAGCTTTTATGTCTTGGTAGAATAGCGTGGATGATCCAATACCGCGCCATGATCCCCTCGTGCTGTATATGGTGATGAGTTTGTCCTCTGCCACGTGCACTGTTCTCAAGGCAAAGGTCCGCGTTGTGTTGTGCTTGGCTCATGATGTGTTTTGAATTCCGCTGCTTCCCAAGCTGCGGTTGGATGAATCTCTTCCAACAACAGCACGCTACGTCCATACCGTCGTCCTCTTTGGGCCGGAGCTCCTATTGACCGCTGAGCTCGGGCCCTTCTTCTCCCCCAAAGTTGCACAAAGGAGGCGTCTCATTGGCTCGCCGTGGATCGGGGGTCTATCCGTGACTGAGGTATAAGGTATCCCAGACGTCCCCACAGTCGGACGGGCACAAGCCAGCTTTGTGCCAACTGGCCTGTGTTTGCTGGTTACTATGACAACTAAATTCAGGCACCATAAATCGTGTCTTAATTTCTCTTATCTCTCCTCTCTAATTATATTGAATCCAACCTCCTGTGTTCCATGAATCGATTTCGTCCCAGCCATTAGGGGGCGACATTGATTGAATTAATGCTCCAAAATTAAGAGAAACCCTCCCTCTCCCCTTATTTCTCTCTCTCTCACACACACACACACTCTCTCTTTCCCACACACACACACACACACACACACACACACACACACACACACACACACACACACACTCTCTCTCTTTCCCACACACACACACACACACACACACACACACTCACAGACCCACAAAGGGGGCACAGACATGGACATGATCAATTATGTGTCAAGCATTTCTTCCTCAATGAATGAATGGCCCAATGACTATAGGCTACCGACCGTCTATTGTCTATGGACACTGGAGACTAAGTTCTCATGCAGTTCATTATCCCTAAGGGGGACAACTAGAAAGAGATCCAACGAGACCATTAATCATCATGCCTTTCACAGCGCATAGAAGGAAAGGACCAAAATAACAGTTGTCCTTTACAGTACATTCCAAAGATCATGTAAATGATGAGAGGCTTTAACGTTCAAGTATATTTATCGAGAGAAAATATTTAAACTTCCCTCTTCCCTCTACCTACCTACCTACCTACCTACCTACCACAGGCATAATTATAATTCCCTATTGCGAGGTTTTCATGGGGCTATATTACAGGAATGTTACGGCATCCATGCTCAGTGCAGGATCTCCAGGGACAAGCAGGTCCTGGGCTTAAAAGGGACATTTTTTTTTTTCCTCCAGTAGTCACTTTTACGCAGATACTCCAACAGCCTATCGCGCTCGTTTCCCCATCTCCACAGCTCTCAGTATGACGAATAACTCTAAAGTCCAATTCAATTTGGGTCGATGGCTCGGACCGACGTTTTTTTTATTTTTTTAAAGTGGAGGGATGGGGGGGGGGTGGAGATCCGGGGGTCAACCCAATAACAGACGCCCTCCCCTGGCAGCCCCTCCACGTCCCCATAAATAAATGCCTTCGCTTCCTGCATGCGAGTGGGGGCGGCGCGCTGTGATTGGCCGCCGCTCGCCCGGTGGGCGGTCCCCGGCGTCGGTCCTCTCCGGCTCGGGTTACAGTTGAGCTCGAGCCGCTGCACTCAGCGGAGCGCAGAGTGGCTGGAGCGGGTTTTAAAAGAGAGAAATACACCGGCGTGGACGCGTTGACGAGCCGATTCAGAGCCACGGGAGCAGAACGATAGACTGATCTGACCTCAACCCGCCACTTCCCCCCCCCTTTCCTTTTTAATGTTTGTTGGCCACCGAACAACAACAACGAAACACGACGTGCGGTTTAATTAACGCGGCGGTCACGCAGCACGTCCCCAAGCCGACTAGAGAGGCGACCCCGCGGGAGCGCAGCGCGCACGCGGAACGGCACCGGGACCCCCGCGAGGAATATTTACAATAGCAGCACAGTTCATTCGCGAGGAAGAATAGCAAAGGTTGAGGAGGAGGAGGAGGAGGAGGAGCGAAAGATAACAGTGGAATGAAGTGGACCTCGGGATTCCCGGCGCGCTGCGGAGTTGTGACTGACGGGTGAATGTGGCCATCTGTAGCTTGTGTACGGCGGCAGGTACGCGCACCATCGGCGCAGCTCTGAGAGAGACGCGACGCCTGCGCTTCGCCCAATTAAATCTCCAGATCGGAAAAGAAAAAATTATCCCACCGGTGAAGGATCTGTGCCATCGCGCATCGGGTCGCACCGCTGTCCGGTCCCCCCCACTCGCACGAAAGGACGCGACGGGCCGCGTTGCCTCAGCCACGGGTCAAGCGGGACACTGAGGGGTTCTGCTCGTCCCACGGACAGTTTACGCTAGGACGCCCGGGAGGTCTGGAGCAGGTTTTCTTTTAAAAAAAGGAGGAGGAGGAGGAGGAGGAGGGAGAGAAACAGCGGTTGGACAGAAGGACATGTATCTGATCACGACCTCTCATGCTCCCGACTGATCGCTGCTCACCTTCCCACCGGGCGAACCACAACTGAAGGCTCGCGCGCACCGGTCCGACGCTCCGAGACCCCTTTTGGCTCACTGTCCGCGCACCGATCGCAATGGCGGGACTCGGCTGTTGGAAGCATTGCCTCTGGATCTTTATTTTAATGTGCAGGACGGCGTTAACCTCGACCAAATCGCTGGAGACTATAATCTGGGGCTCGCAGAATTCCAAGTAAGTCTCGTATTTCATGTTGTACCGGCGAGCCAAAAGTCGCTGGGTGCGCGCGCGCGTAATGGAGGACTGGCATTACTGGAAAAGTTACCATCGTGTGCGAGCTGCGTTAAATGTTCAGTTGGGTCCCTTCAATGTGGCCCTTGGAAAAGGGCGAGCACAATCTGTTTGCTTGTTCACCGTGTTGCTGTTGAATTATTTCCCGGCGGGGGGGTAAAGAAACACGGAATGTGCAGTGTTCTGCAATTTACAGTGGACCTTGCTATAATTGATGGTTAATCATAAGAACGTATGGTTATATTCACGCCCTCCTTTTTATAACCAGACACGGGTAAAGTCTGCCTATCTCCGCAGAGCTGTGCGAGCTTGTCCACTTCTTTCCTCGTCATTTCTTTCTAATTGGTGCAATTTGCCGAGTGGGTGACACAGGTCGTGGAAAGCTTGCCAAGTGTGCCAAGGTGTGGTTCAGGTCGCTGGATCCAGGACGATTGTCCTCTCAGGGCCCTAAACGTGGGCTACTTGGCTTCATTGTGTGCGTGAGGGCCACGCTGAGTCTCAACTCTCCCTAAGTTGGATTTGGATTTTTCCCACATATTTACGGGGGCGAGATGGTTTCACGTATCAGACGAGGAAATGCTCAGGAGATATTGAAATGTTCTGTTAAAAATTCTGGCTAAGTTTCTCAGCTGAAGCCAGACTTTTTTTTTTCTTCTTCTTCCTTTTCTTTCCTTCTCTTAAAGATTCATTTTACTCCCATCAAACCAAGTAAAAAGGGAGCCCAGACTGCTGATAATAAAAAACACTCTGGTAACAATTATCACCCACTTAGACTTGACTCCCACACTTGCAAGGTGTTTGAAAGCGTTCATAAGGGGAAAATAATATAAATGGAGGGGAGAGGGCGAGAGAGGGGGAGAGAGAAAATGTCCTCTCTCCTGTATTTCTGTGTGGTGCCGAGCCGAGGAGCTGACCTTCATCTGAGCTCGCTGCACCGAGGGGAAATGGAGAGTAGCTCGACCAGCTTCTAACTAGAACTCGCTCATTCAAGTGAATCTATGATTCATCACCCAAATGTCAGGTGTCACAGGAGCTCGCTGTGCAGTCAGGAGGTATGAATATTGCTGCCATGTTCGATGGAGTGTGTGTGTGTGTAGGTGTGTATATGTGTGGCCTGGTCCGAATGGTGACACTTCCACGGCCCATCAGCTTTTATCTGAATATATGGCTGCAGAGGAAGTGGAACAATGAGTGCCATCACTAACCCACGTGCATTTAAAAAAAAAAAAAAAAAGCCCTAGACAGAAAAATGAACAAAAAAGAAAAATCGAAGGGAGACATTTATTGATTGATGATGTCACCTGCTGGGAATGTCTTAGAAGGTTGCCATGCCGGTTTAGAGCCCGGGAAGATCATTTCTCCATGTGTTCTCCCCCCCCCACCCCGTCCCCCTCCTTCACTACCGCCCGCCAGCCCGATATTTCATAAAGTTCACAGTGGAACAATAATGCGCTCTGCAAAGTGTTCCTCGCAACCTAATTATCCTGCTGCTCCGCGCTTAGAAAACAAAAGACAATTATCGTGCCGTGTGCAAGGCTTTGCAATAACAGAAGACAAACCTGTTTTTCTCCTAAAATGTGTCTGTCAGCAGCGGCGTCTAAGAGGCAATAAAAAAATAAAAAAATAATACTTGTGCGGCAATCAGCATCTGTCTTCGGTGTTGTGTTGTTTTAATCTCCGTCGCTCTGCCTCCTCCTATATTCCTCCACGGCGAGAACGCCGAGAGGGCGAGAGAGAGGCCTATAGAAATGTACAGTACGCTATCTGGTGACTTATCTAGATTTACGACGTCTTACTTCCTGGTCCCACTTTGGGGAGCTCTGCTGCCTCAGCTAATAAATTAATCTGGCCCTCTGCTTGCACACCGTTCCGCGTCCACACCAGAGCTAACTATACCAGGGCCTCCCTAAAGGCCGTGAGTTATGAGACCAAGTGCAGGAAACCAGCAGGTTTGAACCACTACGGTGTGTGAGTTCTCTTTCTTTATGTGTGTGTGTGTGTAGGTTTATGTGCGGCTCGCCCACAGCGTCCCCGTCATTATGGATCTTGGTGTGAGGATGCCGTCGCTCCCGCTCCTCCATTATCAATAACCGGGGTTTGCTTAATTGATTTCCGCCCAGTGTGCTGCAACGTGTATCGTCGCAGTGAAGAAGAAGAAGAAGAAGAAGAAGAAGAAGAAACATCCCAGAGTTTAAAGTTTTCGCCGCGGGATCCATCAATCCTTTTTTGATATTTAATTTGAGGGCGGATGAGGGAAAGGGCGAGGGCCGGCGTAGGGAGGAGCATTCGGGTGGAGGAGCAGCCGAGCAGAAGGGGGCTGGATGTGTCAACGTCCTCAACCGGTAAAGAAGCGTCTAACATTTGATCAGAGCAAATCGGATTAGTTCTCATTTAGCCGAGTGGGATTACGCCCGAAAATGTCACTTTGTTATGACTGATCACGTCCCATCGGTTTGGCTGAGATGAGCACTGCGTACTACACACACACACACACACACACACACACACACACACACACACACGGTGTGGTAAGGAATTCTGCTGCAGTGACTTCCAATTTAATGACAATCTGACAAGGTTGCTATGAGTGGGTCCTGCATGTCCTCCAACCCTCCTTAGCTAATATTTACCTCATGACCCGGAGCCCCCGTGGCCTGTTTGCATCAAGCCAGGAAAGGCAAACAAGATGATGGGAGGGCGGCGCAGTAAAGAGAACGCGCTCGCGCACCTCCCGGCCCGCGAGTCCTCTGCACTGGTTTTGAACCCCTTCTGCGTTTCGCCGAGGCATGGAAACAGTTTGCAGGCATTTCTTGGCCCCCACGTTGGCTTTTGAGGCCCACAAATGAGCATGAAGCAGCATAACGCGGGGAGAGAGGCGTTCGTGTTGATGGAAGGCAGCTAAAGCCTCCGTCGCCGCCGGTCTTTACTTACTCATCTTATTTCGCCGTCCGCTGACCTCAGCCGCTGCTCCGCTTAACACTTGGCTGGTTCGGTTTATTGTGTGCGTGCACACTTTAAAGGTTCAGGGAGTTTGATGATGATTCAGTTGGATTTGAATACCGCCGTGGTATTTAGTAAACATGTTTATTTTTTTTTTCTTTACCAAAAGAGAACATTTCTCAAGGGGGTGAAGGGAGCAAAAAAACAAACGCATTGAAGGGATGAGGTAGCGAGTCCGATGCGTTTTAAACCCACCATAATTGTATTCGGCTGCTATTAGGAGAATAGGTGCACAGAAGGCCTAATTAAATTTCAACATTTGTTTTTACAATTACCTTTTTGCCATTAAGATAATTGGGGCAAAAAAAATGTTTTCCTATGAGTTAAGTAGGGAAAAAAACAAAATACTCCCTTATCTCTGTCTTTAGAACCAGATCCAATCAAAGTACGTTGTTTTTTTTTGTTTTTTTTTCAAAAGCTTTTCTTCTGGAACGTTGAGACACCTTTGACTCTTGCAAAGTGGTGTTCAGAAACGCTTCCCCGCGCTGACATTTGAATACATAACAAGGGTTCCAATCTGCGCTTTCTCTTTTAAAAAAACAAATTGTTCAAAAACTGCCGCAACCTGTCGAGCGAGAGTCTGCTGAAACCTCGTGGACTGGAAAAGGAACCGGATCGCTCCGCTCCGCCGGCGAGAGGGCCCCGAGGCCTGTTTTCCGTTCCAACCCCGCTGCTTGCCCCCTTTTTCTCCCCTACCTACACACCTTCCCGCCCCACTCCGCTCTCCCCCTTTAGACTGTGATCGCGTTTCCGTCTGATAAAGATCTCATTACACACAGAGAGGACTCAGAGCCTGAGCCCCACTCCAGAGAGAGAAAGAGCGAGGGCTTGACCAATAAGAAATATTTGTGGGGAGCAACTGGCCCTCGGCGCTGTGAAGGCACCCTGTGTCCCGCGCCGTGGACAGCTGCGTTTGCTCCTGCGTGTGTGCACTTCTGTGTCCACATGGCTGTCGTTTCAGCGGCGGATCCTTCGTTTTGGTTTTAGCGACGCACGGAAACTGCGCTCAGTGACGGGCTTCAGGTCATTCCACCCCCCCGCACCCCACCATCAGGGTTTCTGCTCCAGATGGACTCACTTTATCCGCCGGTGGTTTTGGCCGCCACATCACTGACGACTGATCATTCTGCTTCGTGTGTTATTGATGCGTCCGTTTCTTTTATATTCGAGCAGTCGGGCACACGGAAACCCCGCTTTCGTTCCCCCGGCTTAGGGAGCATTTGCAACCAATCTTTTCGGTTTGTATTTGAAAAAGAAAAACAACATCTTGTGTGCATGGACGTGATCATAACTGTCCCTTATGACCCAGGGTTAGAGTTGTTTTTTTATCCGAGAGCCACTTGATTCACAACTGGGCCAACAGCTGAATGTAATGAGTCAGTTGACAGAAGAGCTAAAACGATAATTTGATTTATCAGTTGGCTGATCAAAAACATGAAGGAAATTTGATAATCAACCAGCTGTATACGGCTGGGAAGAGATTTGATTACTGACTCAAAATACCAGTATATTCTAATTTTACTTTTTTGTAACTCAGTTGTGAAACAGTTTGTGGCTAAAATAACTGGCCAAGAATGTCTGGTTATTTTTTTAGCTTGATTCCGGGAATTAAGGTCACCGCATTGATGAAACCTGTTAATTCAACCAGGTTGATGCATGAGAAATGTTTCACACATGTATCTTGTCTCATTCTTTATATTTCCTGCATAGTGTGAAAACTCACCACATTTCTGCTTTACATACTTTTGAAAGAAAAACTTTTTTTCTTCTAAAATCTTTTGGAAAAGTAAGTATGTTTTTTATCATGACACAAAATGACGAATCAGTTAACCAATAATGCAACTGACAAATAAATTCTAATTATTAGTTGCCGCCGTAGAACATATAATTATCTTAATCCTGAGCACCAGAGGTAGAAACTAATAGTCTCTCATGTGGGCGTA